CTCTCTCTCTCTCTTCGTTTTATTCTTTCTTTCCATTCATTTTCATTTTTAAATCTAAAACATTTTAGTTAAATTTATCACGCTTTCTTACGAAAGTAGTGCCTCTCTTTCACGTCGCTTGGCATAGGGTTGATAAAAGGTCGCGGTGCGCGCGTTTTTTTTTTTTCTCTCTCGATTTAATTAACTTCACATAAAAAGATAGGCACACCCTTCACCTACGTCCTGAAGTACAATCACCGTAAGCGAAGCTTCTGGATGGATTCCACTTGGTATTTCTCGTGCGAAACAACGTACACATCTTGCCAAAAACGTAACAAGAACGATCCCTCAGTTATCTTCGAGATATCAAAAAAAAATTAAATCTAACACGATTTCGGAGAGCAGATCGACTATTAATTAAAACTGAATATTAATCAAGTGACACCAAGATCGTCTACGTTGATCCGCAGATGAATTTTTTTTCACAGACGGAGACATTATTAATTACGACAATCACGCGTCACCATCACCGCTGCCAAACTAATATATATATATATTGCTTCTTCATAGAATCGGGCGTGAAAAGTATATCTAATTACGTAGTTCGGATATCTATAGGATACAGAAGCGTGCTGTGAAGCTTGGAAGACGAATCATAGTTACTGTGTGGAGCGTCTGTTGCATTTTCATTTTCATTCTCCTCGCGGGAGGATCTTACAAAATAATACTTGCATTAAACGTGCGCGTCTCGTATTGGCTTAGAACTTCACATCAATTCCCTATTTATGGACGATCAACAGAAAAAGGAAAAGAATGCATTTCTTCTTCTTCTTTTCTTTTCTTTTTTTTCTTTTTTTTTTCTTTTTTTTTTAAAGATGCATGCGAGGCAGGCTTTTTTCTGTGACACTAAAGCTGTGATGGTTTCGCGCTACTCAACTACTTGTGTCGAACAAGTTATATAGACCCATATACTGAATACGTTTACATGTTCTCTTCACGAGCGATACGTTAACTTGTACTAAAGTAATCATCAGAGATCAGAAGCGTTGAGAAATCTTAGAATGCAAGGGTATCATAGGGAGATGATTATTACGCCAGTGAGGATGTTTCGAATATAAATCACGTTTCTCTCCCTGATCGAAAACGTTTCGTTTACGCGGTACTTACATACAATAAATCACATTGCAAATATCATTAAATATTCGATGAAAATTATGGTTAGTCTCGTTCCTCGAATGAAAAGAATCAAAAGCTTTCTTGAAAGAGTTCACAACTTCGTAAAAGGCCGATAACGTGAAAAATCTTTTCGATATATAAAATTGAGGTAGCAAATAATTTCATTCTGTCCGCGGATCATGATTGGCAGCAATTACTTTTGTTCTGTTCTGTTCTGTTCGTTCTACTTCTTTCCTTCTTTTTTTTTTACTTTTTTTCTCTTTTTGATTTTGTTTAAGATTAAACGCAATTCTTTTGGTGGCAGTACACAGAAGAATCAGTGAGCAATGATCATTCCTGAAAGAACGTAGATCCGGCCAAAAGATTCTGGCTGGACAGCGTTTGCGGCTGCTACTGTAAACGTACTCAGTAACGTGTATTTATATAATATTCGTACATTAGTTTTATTTGTAATAAGGATTTCCTAGCCAG